GTGGGGGGTGACTATCTGATTCATTTCTGCTATGTGGTTTTACTTCTTCAAAACAAAAAACAAAAAAAACAAAAAAAAAACAAAAAAAAAACAAAAAGAAAAAAAAAAGTGTTTATCTTTTCAGTATCTTTGTTTTATGTTCTTAGTTTAGTTCTTAACTTTTCTCTTTGTAAAATTCTGGGGTGTTTAGCTTTCTCTTCCATATTCATCCATACATTTACCTCAGCCCCATTACAACCCTGCATAAAGCCCTCTTGATTTGTGCATGCATGTGTTATGAACAGTGGAGAAGTAGAACTTGAGCAAGCCTATGGTAGGATGATTTTCTTGAGTTGATTTGAGTGATATACTGAATTAACTGATACACTTGAGAGAAAAATTGAGAGCATCTTGTGAGGAACCATTTTTATGCAGTTAGCAGTTGCAGTTGAAGTTAGCAGGTCTTGTGATTTGAGATTAGGGAATTTCTGTCCTGATTGATTTATCTGTAGAAGACTTGTGATCTTTGTATATTTTCTGTATGCTTGGTAATTGTTAGAAAGGATTGGTTGATCTTAGTATTTACTTTCAATTTTAGTTTTTGCCCAGGAGTGCAAAAAGATAAGTGTGGGGGAATTTGATAACACATATTTTGTTACACTTATTTGTTACTCTTGATTAGTATTTTTAGGATTTATTTGAATAAAATAATGATTGTTAGAGTTAATTTAGGTTTTTAGTTTTTAATTGGGTTTAATTTATTTTCGTCAGAATTTTTCAGCTTTACGTTACTTCTGTATTTTGGCCATATCTCGGTCCATAGTTGTCGGATTGACTCCGTTCTTGTTGGGTTTTTCAGATAACACAGAGAGCTACAATTCTTATGCAGAGCTCTAAGCCCAATTCGGACTAGAAGCTGGTCGATTTCGGACACCAAGTTGGACGCGTTTTGCTGAAGTTTTGTTTGACTATTGGGCTTGTAATTTAAATTAAAACCCAATTACTTAAGTGGCCCAAAGCCAAGTTTTATTGTTTCATTTTATTTTATTCGGTTTTTTATTTTATGTTTGGGCTGAAGCGATGAAACCCTAGCCGTCCTGCGTGACGGCTATTTAAAGGGGACTCTAGGAAACCCTTGGTAGTCAGTTTTTACAACAGAGAAGTTCTCTCTGAGTTTTTATTCAATTGCGTTCTTCATCTTTTTTTTTCTTCTTCTTCTTTTCATTTCAATTATGTTTACCTTAGCCATGTGAGGCTAAGAACCTTTTAATCAACCTAAGGGTAATGGATTCCATGGATTGGTCTTGAGGATCTGCGTTTATTTCAAATCAGTTTTGTTTCCCTTCCCAACTCAGATTGATATCGTGCGATCGTGGATATTCAATCTGAGGTTCGCGATTGCGATTATGGAAAGGGATTAATCATCAGATTTGATGATTAGGTTGATTGACCCTATGACCTTAAATCAAGCGGGCTGATACTCTGCGATTGTATGAGTAGAAGCATCGTCTTTGATCAAATGCTAAGCGATCGCTTAGAGAGGGTTGTCAATTGGAAATAAGTATTCTGATCCGATTGACAAATCAATCACGATTCTGATATCTTCTTATCCGAGGAAAGACGTCCATGGAACCCAAACCTTAGGTTGGTTATTTTTAATTACAAATTTTTATTCCAAATTTATATTCTGCCTCTTTAATTATTGAATCAAAATCTAAAACCCCCCCTTTTAATTTTCTGTTCTCATAAGCGATTTTAACCAAAACAATTTCCTTGAGAGACGACTTAGGGTTTCCACTTTACTGCAAATTTTCTGAACCCTAATTAAAAAAATAATTTTTAATTTGCGCGAGTTCGACAGCTCGTGTCAAAGACCCAATCTCACGCATCTTGTCACTCAACCCCTCATTCCTTATCATTTGTTATGTCTTTTGACAAATGTTCACCCACTTATATCAATTATTGCCTCAGCGTGAGCACATATATAGAACCTACTTCCTACACAGAAGCTGTTAAACATCCTTGTTGGCAAGAAGCCATGAAAACTGAACTCGAAGCACTTGAACAAAACAATACCTGGACTGTAGTGGATCTTCCTGAAAATAAAAGACCAACTGGGTGCAAATGGGTCTATAAAATAAAACGGAAGGCTGATGGATCCATAGAACGTTATAAGGCTCGTTTGGTAGCTAAGGGATTCACATAATTAGAAGGAGTTGATTTCTTTGATACCTTCTCACCCGTTGTTAAAATGACTACCATTAGAGTCCTTTTCACCATAGCCAGTGCAAAAGGGTGGTTCTTGGAGCAACTTGATGTTAATAATGCATTTTTGCATGGAGAGTTAAATGAGGAAGTGTATATGAACATTTCTCCTAGTCTTCTCAAATCATCAAAGTCCACCAAAGTCTGTAAATTACAGAAATCACTTTATGGGCTTCGTCAAGCAAGCAGACAGTGGTATGCTAAATTGACATCTGCTTTGCTGTCTTTGGGTTATTCTCAATCCCCTTCTGATCACTCTCTCTTCATTAAATCCAAAGATGCTTCATTCACTGCTTTACTTGTATACGTGGATGACATTGTCCTCTCAAGTAATGATTTTCAAGAGATTGAATTTGTCAAGTCTCAACTAGATGATCGTTTCAAAATAAAGAACTTGGGTCTTTTGCGATATTTTCTTGGTTTCGAGATTTGTCGCTCTTCTAAAGGAATCATCATGAATCAACATAAGTATACTGTTGAAATTCTCTCTAACATTGGGTTATTAGGTGCAAAGGCAGCCTTTACACCCATGGATTCTTCTTGTAAATTGCAGTGTGATAAAGGCTCATTGCTTCATGATCCCACAAGTTATAGAAGGCTAGTGGGACGACTTCTCTATCTTACTAATACAAGACCTGACATTAGTTATGCAATTCAACAACTGAGTCAGTTCTTGTCTAATACAATTGATATTCACATGCAGGATGCACTTCGTGTTGTTAGATACTTGAAGAAATCTCCAGCGAAGGGACTTTATTTGCAGCTAACAATGATCTTGTACCTACTGGTTTCTCTGATGCAGATTGGGCTGCATGTGTTGATACCCGACGTTTAATCACAGGGTATTGCATTTTCTTAGGATCCTCTTTAGTAGCATGGAAATGCAAGAAACAGACTACCATTTCCAGATCTTCTTGTGAGGCAAAATATAGAGCCTTAGCTGCAGCAACATGTGAAATGCAATGGATTCATTACTTACAACATGATTTGAAATTATCTAAATCTGCACCTTCATGTGTATACTGTGACAACCAATCTGCAATCCATATTGCTCATAACCCAACGTTTCATGAACGTACAAAACATGTAGAAATCGATTGCCATTTGGTTCGTGAGAAAGTCCAAAGTGGTTTGATTCTATTTATAGTTGAAGTTTTGGGCTCGGATATGGGTCTCGTGCAATTATTTCTTTATTCCTCATTGATGTATCTGGCTCAGATATTGGCTTCATACACTATTTTCTTTTTATTCTTAATTTCTTTATGGCTCATAATACAACTAACTTATTTGCTAACTCAAGACTGACTCATGATTGACTCATCATATCTAATCAAATATTACTAATCAAACATTAATACATAAATCATCAATCAATTAATCATAATTTATCATCTAATATATATATATATATATATATATATACATATTAATATTATTTTATTATAAATAATCTAGAGTATTACAAAGTATCAAAATTATTTTCCAATAGCACTCATATCGCACATATATTGCACACCAATTATTTTATCAAAATTTATATTATAATTTGTTATCTATATTATAACCATTATATATATATATATATAAACCATTATATATATATATATATATATATATTATTACTACTAATTTATAGTTTATTATTATTATTATTATTAATTTATTATTATTATAAATTACTGTTAATTTTTTGGGATATTACATTTTCAGTCCACTTTCAAAAGTGGGGCGGGCTGACTCATTTTTTGACGGGTTGATGGCAAGGCAGGCTGCTCACTTTGCCATCTCTAATTAGCCCAATAATTTCTCATCCACATATTCTAACTCAACCATTGCATATATAGTCAAATAGTAACTATGGTTAGTGAAACTCCTCCAATCCCATCTTGAAGGTAGTGTGATAGGGTTCCTCTCATCATGTAAACTTAATAAATAGCTCAACTTTTTTTATTTTAAAATAAAACTGTTCAAATTCTTTTTTTTTCCCTTTAAGAAAAGATTTAGGGCAAACAAAATATACAAAAATAGTTAAGAGAAAGTTAAGAGAAAAGTTGGTGCCAAACCAACCAAAGGTTAATAGAGGCTAGAAGGTGGTCATTTTCCCAAAGAAATGAAATGGAAGAATTCTCAGTATAGTTTCTCTTTATTGATAGAGGTATGTCTCCATTTCTTTCTCTTTTCTTTTCACTCCTAATGGGGAAAAATAAATAAAAATTGAGTCTTTTTACTTTCCATTGAAAAATTTTGAACCTGTGATTTGAAAAACACAATTTTTTTTCTTTCTTTCTTTTTCCTGTTAATTGTATCTGTTCAAAACTTGAACTTTAGCCCCTCCCTCTCTAAACCCTCTTTCTCCAAAATACCTTCTGGAATTTAAGATTTTTTTGAGACAGAAACAAAGCGCGGGACACCCGAAACACACACTCTCTCTACATCTACAGGTTTAGACATAGAGAGATAAAAGAATTTCTTCATTTCTTCTGCATTATTTTTTTTTTCTTCCAATTTTTGGTGGCGGTGGGGAATAAAAATGGAAACTTTATAGCATGATGAAAAGTTTTTGGAATTGAATTTGGTATACATGGCAGGGTGGTCGATGCTCGATGATGGGGTTGTCGTGGATTTTGCTGAAACCGATTAGAAGAGTTTGAAGGTGAAGCTGATACTAGTGTTGTTGTAGGTTTATCTGATAAGGGTGGATGCTGTTTTGATCAACTTCTTGGTGTGGTTTTTTGAAAGATATCCGTTCATAGAAAATGTTGGGTAATGGGCAACCTGTGGATTTGTATAAGCTCTTCATGTTGGTGAAGGAGAAAGGTGGCTATGATGTTGTTTGTAAGAATGGGTTGTGGGATTTGGTGGGGGAAGAATATGGGTTGGGTGTGAAGGATGGTTCCTATGTTAAAGGGGTTTATAGTAAGCACTTAAGGACTCTAGAGGCAAGGCTCAAGAATGTTGCTGGCAGTAAGTTCACTGAGTGTGGTTTAGTGGATGATAGAGTTAAATTTGGTAAGCGTTTGATGGAGTTGCAATCTGAATTTTTGTTGGATGATTATGTTGAGGAAGAGGGTGGGGACAAACTCAATAGTGTATATGACTATCAAGATGGGAGGAAATTATGTGGTAGTAATAGAGTGAAGGGCATGAATCCAGAGTCAAATGTGGATGAACTCGATAGGGTATATGACTATCTAGATGGGAGGAAGTTGTGTGGTACTAATAGAGTGAAGGGAATGAATCCAGAGTTTAATGGGGCCAAGAAAGTTAAGACTGAAGGACTTGTTGATTTGAATATGGTGGATCATAAGGCGAATGAGCCTGATCTTGGACACTTGTGCAACCATAATGCCGCAATGGATATACTGGAAGAGTTTGATGGAGGCAAAATATTAGCAGTTGATGAATCTGATGCAGTAAAAAACGTGCATGGATTGTCTGATGGAGGGAAGAGGTGTGATGATGATGACAATGACAATGATGATGATGATGACAATGACAATGATGATGATATCTTGATATTAGATCCATCCATTGTTAATAAAGAGAGCTTTGGTTGTAAGAAGAGAGTGTCTATGTGGAATGTATCTGATGCAGTAAACAACATGCCTGGATTGTCTGATGGAGGCAAGAGGTGTGATGATGATGATGACGACAATGATGATTATGACGGCGATAACTATGACAATGACAGTGACATCATGATATTGGATCCATCCAGTATTGATAAAGAGAGTTTTGGTTGTAAGAAGAAGTGTCAGTCTATGCAGTACATGCTAAGCTGGGTTAAGGGCATTGCAGAGAACCTTTGTGATCCTGTAGTTGGTTCAATTCCTGAAAAGTCAAAGGGGAAGTTTTACAGTAGTCAGGAGATCTGGAAGCAGGTTTTGTTGTTTAGAGAAGCTGTCTTTCTGAAGAAAAGTTTTGAATCAAGCAATGAACAACTTACTTGGAAGGTAATCTGAAAATAACTATGTGCTTTTTATTTGACATGCAGATCACTAATGAGATATGAACTATTATGTAGTGTTGTATGTCATTGTCTTGTGCTGAGACCATGGATCATGGAAAAAGATCCTTATAAATCTTTGATAAATTTATTTCCTGAATTAACTAATTGATTATATGTCTTTATGTGATTTGAACTTCAGTATGTTTTGTAATTATTACCAATAATTTCTGATGCAGCTCATTTCACCATTAGAATTATAGTCATTGTGTATATATGGAATCATGGATGGTGTTTTTCTACATTTTTTTCCTGTCATTTATTATTGTATTATATTTGTGGATGACCATGGGGGCGTTTGGTAGAAGAGAAAAAAATTTTACCTGGGAAATAAAATTACTAGGAATATGGTGGTAAAGTGAGTTTGGTAGGAAAGTTAAAAAAAAGTTGTTTGGTAGGCCAAAATATTACCAGGAAAATTGGGTTAAGTTTACTGAGTCTATGTTTGGTTGAAAGTAAAATATTGATGGAAAAATGAGTTAAAAATATGAAAATAACCTTTTTATAATTTTTGAATCTGAAATACACACTCACTTTACACGATGGGAGGGTCATTTTGGTCCATGATTTGGCGCTCATTTTTTCACTTATCCAGTTATCCCAAGATACCACATTGGAAGTGGTATTTTGGAACAATAACTTTCATCACAATTTCAACACAAATCATAAATATTAGGCAACATATTTTACTGGGATAATTTTTGTCAAACTTGTACCAAACATGATATTTTCCAATACCCCACACTTCCCCAGCAATCCCAAAAGAAAACTTATACCAAACAGCCCCTTAGGGAACTTTTGGTACAAGGATTTTTTTTAGATTACCGAGAAAGTGCCATTAGGAATCCTATTTACTCACGTTTGGTACAAGGATTATGAAAATTTTCCTAGGATTCTGATTTGTCAACACTTTTTAAGGCAAAATGTCATCCAAGAATACTAGCAAGGGGGTGTATTCTTGGATTCCCGAGAGGTGGGAAAATATTTTGCCTCCGCGCCACTAGCACGGGCGCCACTAACGCCAAGCAATATTTTCTTCCTGCCCCACTAGCGCCAAGTCTTAAAGCAATATTTTCTTCTCGTGCTAACAGTGCAGTGATGGCGCCACTAGCTCCAGCAATGCAGTTTTTAATATTACCTTACATTCCCAATAATATTTGACAATCAACCAAACATAGAATCAAGAAACTTGAGCCAACATTCCTGGTAATATTAAGGCAAAATGTCATCCAAGAATACTAGCAAGGGGGTGTATTCTTGGATTTCCGAGAGGTGGGAAAATATTTTGCCTCCGCGCCACTAGCACGGGCGCCACTAACGCCAAGCAATATTTTCTTCCTGCCCCACTAGCGCCAAGTCTTAAAGCAATATTTTCTTCTCGTGCTAACAGCGCAGTGATGGCGCCACTAGCTCCAGCAATGCAGTTTTTAATATTACCTTACATTCCCAATAATATTTGATAATCAACCAAACATAGAATCAAGAAACTTGAGCCAACATTCCTGGTAATATTAAGGCAAAATGTCATCCAAGAATACTAGCAAGGGGGTGTATTCTTGGATTTCCGAGAGGTGGGAAAATATTTTGCCTCCGCGCCACTAGCACGGGCGCCACTAACGCCAAGCAATATTTTCTTCCTGCCCCACTAGCGCCAAGTCTTAAAGCAATATTTTCTTCTCGTGCTAACAGCGCAGTGATGGCGCCACTAGCTCCAGCAATGCAGTTTTTAATATTACCTTACATTCCCAATAATATTTGATAATCAACCAAACATAGAATCAAGAAACTTGAGCCAACATTCCTGGTAATATTAAGGCAAAATGTCATCCAAGAATACTAGCAAGGGGGTGTATTCTTGGATTCCCGAGAGGTGGGAAAATATTTTGCCTCCGCGCCACTAGCACGGGCGCCACTAACGCCAAGCAATATTTTCTTCCTGCCCCACTAGCGCCAAGTCTTAAAGCAATATTTTCTTCTCGTGCTAACAGTGCAGTGATGGCGCCACTAGCTCCAGCAATGCAGTTTTTAATATTACCTTACATTCCCAATAATATTTGACAATCAACCAAACATAGAATCAAGAAACTTGAGCCAACATTCATGGTAATATTTTGACCTACCAAACAGCTTTTTGGTCACATTCTCGGGAAACCACTTTTCTAGAACATTCCTGGTAATTGTGATTCCCAGGCATAAAAAAATTTCTCATCTACCGAATGCCCCCTTAGTTACTTGATTATCTTACCTGTTGTTTTCTAGTTTTAAATGAAAATATTCATATTGTTAATTGGGGCATGATCTTTTGACTCCTGTATAAGATTAAGAAGTCTTACTTTCCATCTCATCCATTAATTTTCATTCTTTCGACGGTTTTAATTTATTGAATTATATCTATTAATTGATTATTAATTCTAAATAAACTACAATCGTCGAATGGACGGAAATCAACTGTTGAGATAATGAATAAGACTTCTTAATCTTACATCGGAGTCAAAAATTCTCCCCTTTTAATTTTCTTCTCTTTGTTGATTTTATTTTTGTTTTTGTTTTTGTTTTGGTTGTTAAAGAACTATTTTATGCTTTCTTTAATTATGGTGTAATAAAATTTTGTCCGGATGTCCTCCTAATTCAATTTCTGTAAATTTTTTTTTTTTTCCGTTTCATATGTGATGAATTATATTTACTTTGAGCCATGTTTCTCTTGTGAAATATATAAAATGGAAAATCGAGTTTGTAAAATTCTGCAAGTGGCAGCTCTAGCTTATGACATTAATGTTTAATAAAAAAATTTCACGTGTCATCATTTTTCTGAGCCATGTGTTAAGCGCATTAAATTATTGCAAAAAAATTTAAGATTTGAATTTTATGTTATTATCTTATTACAATTAATACTAAATTTGAATCATCATTACTATCTTATTTATGGAAAGAAATCGTTAACATCTTATTGCATATTCAAATTTTAAAATTTTAAATTTATTGCAAACAATTCAAAATTTGAATCTGTTAACGTCTTTTTCATGAGGAGAATTCATTAATATCTTATTGCATAATTCAAATTTTTAAAATCTTATTTAAAATTTTAAAGTTTTTTGGTACAAAAACTGTTTACTTACATTTTAAATGTCAATTGATTGCTAATGTAATGTTAGATTAATTTACAATTGTGCTAATGGTGTAATATATTGTCTTTTAAATTATTGTGTCCATTGCATAGGTGTTGGCTCAAACCTAATCTTTTTACTATTTTTGTACTCTGTTTCAACTTGAATGTGTATTTTGACTGAAAAAATCGTTAGAAGCAACTTGGTATTAAAGTATGTAAAACAATTATTTTTAAACCCTGTTTTAGACTTTTAGTGCTTTTCTCGTAAGTTAAAAATAGTATTTTCTGAAAAAGAGCTATATCATAAAATCATTTATTTTTTTAAAGTTTAAACAAAGGAACCTTAATTAAGTATGAAGTATGTAATTACTATTTGGGATAGGTTATTCTACCTACCATTTTTTTCTGTCTACTTTGCCTACCACCCTCCAATACCGTTAGATCAGAATCTTAACTAATATTTATCTTTCTCTCTCTTCTTAAGTTTCTGATCTAACGGTGTTGGAAGGTGGTAGGCAAAAAAAAAAAAATGGTAGGTAGAATAACCTATCCCTTACTATTTGTAGATAAATTTTTGATACAAGTTATTGCTTTATTTTTGGATGATAAAGATCTTTTTCTAAGCTAGTTCTTGAGATTCCTTGAATATTCGTCCAAATGTTGCCACTTGTTTTTCATTGAACCAAAAAATGGAAAATATTTTGCCATTTTGTAGGGTCAGAAGATGCATCCTTCCTTGTACGATGATGGTCACCAAGGCTTAACCTACAATCTTAGAAAGAGGTTGAAACGTGACAAGAGGCATTTAGTTGGAAAATCTTCAACTAATGGAGTCTCTTCAGGAACACAGAGAGGTTTGGAGAGAATCCAAAGTCCTCATACTGAAGTTTGTGCTGTGAAAAAGTTACTTGATTCATGTACTGCACGCTCAAGTCTTGATAGAAGTGCCACAGTGCCTATCCCTTTGGGGCCAGCCCACCAAGCTGAAGTGCCACAATGGACTGGCATGACTTATGAGAGTGATTCTAAGTGGTTGGGGACTCGAATATGGCCAACAGAAAATGTAAATTCCAAACATTTTTTTGAAAGGGACCCCATTGGAAAGGGAAGAGAAGATTCATGTGGCTGCCAAGTACAAGGTTCTGTTGAGTGTGTGCGGTTCCACATTGTTCATAAAAGAACTAAACTGAAGTTGGAATTGGGTGAGGCTTTTTACAAGTGGAATTTACATAAGGTAGGTGAAGAAGTTAGGCGTTTGTGGACACGGGAAGAAGAGAAGAAGTTCAAAGATGTGGTGAAATCAAACCCTCCTTCACTTGAAAGATGTTTCTGGGATCATATTTTTAAAGCATTTCCCATGAAGAGCAGGGAAGATTTAGTTAGCTACTACTTCAATGTCTTTATTTTGCAGCGCAGAGGATACCAGAATAGGCATACTCCAAATGACATTGACAGTGATGATGATGGATCTGAATTTGGACCATTGAGGAAGGTTTTTGGACATAAATCACGTAGCTCCACCTTATTACCCCCCAAAAGCCAGAGACAGAGGGAAGATAGAAAGTGAATGTAAGTCCAAATCATGAGCTTCATTGAGAATGTACATGTCTCTTTGGTGCAGCAATTTTCAGTATCAATGGATCTTTCTCTCCTTGCTTAGAATATCAAAATCATCATTTCTTTTGATGAGTAAAAAAGATTTGGACTTAAAAGATGATGGTTTTGGTGTGGCTCAATACCGGAGAGATGAGAAATGATGTCTTTGGTGATGGATGCAGCTAACTATGAATATCTGACAACACATGAGTTAAGAGTTGCTTTTTCCAATTTTGAGACATAACATTTGTCTGTTCACATTGATAGATATATTGTAGGCACAGGCACTTTCAATTGCTCATTTTATTTGTTATTTTCACCTGGTTTTGATCACAAGGGTTACTTTAAAAAGTTATAACAATAGCATCAGGAATATAGAGTAACATTTTATTGTAGAGGATCATCAATGAATACAGCAAAGTAGAATTTAAATGTTGGCCTTTCATCTGATGTGATTTTCTATCTGCATGTTTCTTTCAATGCAATATATATAGAATGGGGAAGGATTCGTTTATAATTTTTTTTTACAAATTACACTAAGTTTGATCGGTCATACATTCTTAATTAAAGTATGACCGGTCAGACATAGTATGGTTTGTAAACTAAAAATTTGTAAATATAACCTTCCCCGTATAGAAATTGTTTTGGCTCAGGTATTTGTAGGTTTGTCTAATACCTTTTTTATGCCAAGTAATTCTAGGTTCTAGGTTGTTTTGACTCAGCGGGGGTGTGAGATGGTCGGTATTAAAATCATTTAATTTGTCCAAACATAACAAAGCATGAATATTAATTATTGGGTAGTTATCTATCTTCTTCATATTCATCCCAAAATTGTTAAAATCATTTATGAATGTACATGTCCTCTGTGCTTCTCCATTAGGTGCTGTTTGGTTGAGGACATCTTGAAAGATCCCTAGGCAAATCATCTTGGAAAAACACAAAGTCTACGTTTGGTACACAGCTTTATTAACCTTGCCCATCTATTCCATTTGCATAGCCATTCTCCATTTGGTCGATGATAGCCAGGCATTTGCACTATTTAGAAAGCGTTGTTGGACATGGTTTTTTGTGGATAGCCACCGAAATTGCAAAAAGCAAAAATGAAGCAACCGAAAATACCCTCCGTTGTGTGGACATTGGGTAAGTCAGAGCAGAAGCATCACTCAACCGAATTCACGCCATGCTCTCCTCGGTTGCAAGTAATCTTGTTCTTTATTTCACTTTATCTGGTCGCCATTGGACAAGGTGGACATAAGCCCTGTGTTCAGGCTTTTGGGGCAGATCAATTCGATGAGCAGCACCCAGAGTAGCACCAAATATAAATATACCAAATGATCCTTTCGCCATTTTCCAGAATAACCTTATTAGTGAAAACCTTTTGACCCTGCCATGCTTACCTAAGCTTGAAATTCAAGATGCTTGTTATGAGGACCCCCTGAAAACTCTTGTAACTTTGGCTTCCTCGTTGAAGATCAAACCTTTTATTTCTGGTCCTTCTGAATCACCTACCACTCCTGCAATGTTTAAAAAAGTTCGCAGTTGTAGCTCTGTACTAGAAGCAATAAAAATGGTATTACTTCTACTAAGGAATAAAATTAAAAACACTTCTCTCTCATAGCCCTGCTTTGAATTTCGCCATTTTCCATTGTCTCTGTTCTCTATCTTCTTTTTGGTTTTCATTTTCGTTTATATATATTGGTTTCTCTCTATTTTCTTTTTCGTTTTGACATTTTCCATTATCTTCTCTATCTTCTTTTCTTTTTCTTTTTTGTTTTAAAAATTTTAATAACAGGGATATTTTCGTAATTGTCACTTATTTTCTCATCTATATTTTACTTCAAACCAAACATAGATTTTATAAATCTTATCTAATTTTTCCGGTAAAATTTGTTCAAACCAAACAACTTTTTTTACATTTTCCTACCTAACTCACTTTCCAACTATTTCTCTATCAATTACATTTTTCTAGTATTCAAAAAAAATTTCTTCAACCAAACACCCCTTTAATGGTGATTTTACTAGGCCAGCCCGTGCTCCAAAGTAATGGTTGGTCCGGACGGGGGATTTTATTTTATTTTTTTATACTCAGCGTATTTTTGGTGCTCTGGGTGCAGGTACACTTTTCCAAAAATAGAAAAAAAAATTCAGCACAGGAAAATAAATAAATAAAATAATATGGATGGAAATGTCATAAAAAATTCCTGTTTTGGAAAAATGTAGCACATGCAAGAGCTCCCGGTCCACTTTAAAGGTTCTCCTCGAGTAGCACCCAACTTGGTGCATCTTTTAATTTTTATTTCAATTCAATCCAAATGTATTTTGCTATTTGCCTATTTCCCCTTGAATGTTCACTTTTTTTTTCTTTTTTGAAAAGGATGTTGATACATCCAATGCACAGAAAAGTTCTCACAGATGAAATAAAGTCTGTAAAATAGGTTGATTAAAAATTTCAACTCATCTTATTTATAGTGAGTTGGTGGATCAACTCGGCTAGCTTTGATTGAACCATGATCATGTGCGTCTTGAAACATTGTGCTTTCTTTTACACAACCTAGCCACTCCACCTCCCTTAACTTGGACTTGTTTCATCTCTTATAAATATTATCGTACATTCATAAGAATTTTTTTTTTTTTTTTTTATAACAAGAAAATTATTTTCAAATCAAATATAAGAATACAAATTTCCTGAAAATGTAATCAAACAAGAGGAGGAATATTTTTACTATCAAAAATTTTCACTACCAATTTACTATCTCTTTAATCACCATTGGACCAACATTTTTTTTATCTTCAAAAACTTTTTAGCATTCTCTCTCTTTAATCCAATAGTGATTAAATAAGTAGTAAGTTAGTAATGGAAAATTTTGATAGTAAGAATATCCTCCCTCATCAAACAATTCCCACAATGTTAAAAATCAACCAGATGTGCCCTGGAACTCCTTTCCAAATAATACCATCATCATGAGTCATGGAATGAAAAATTAAGTTCAGAACCAATTGTTCAACATTGTTGCATATTTGATTAATAAAGCTCGGCAGATCAACTCGTCCCGTAACGTGTTCAACGCAATGTTATTAAATCTGGCATGTAAGAACCCGCACCGTTAATTAAAGAAATTAATTAAATAATTATGAGATTAATGAGATAATTCCATAATTGACCCTAATAATTATGAGAAGGATTGAATAATTATAGAAAGTAATTAATAATGCTGAAAGTCATTTTTCTGACGAAAAGTGCAGATACCGATTCTGCTCCACAGTATAAGTGCGTACCGATGAAGTATCGCGGAAAATTATTATAAGTGCATGAATATTCCTATATTAATATATAAGACTGTGATTTCAAGTTTCAAGTTAAAATAATGAGAACTGGTGCCAGAACTGACACTGGCTATGTAAAAGCGCGTACCGGAAATGTGCTGCAAAAAATAAAATAAAAATATGATAAATCCTAGAAAAATGGCTAGGTTCAGAATCTAAAGTTTGAGATTAAAATGTTAAGCGTAGCTATTATTGTTAATACTGTGTGTCTTAACTTAAGTGGGCTATATATAGCCACTTGCACACAACCCTAGGCTGATACTCAGCCATTTCTTGCGTGGGTTGTGTGTGTGTAGCTGCTGTCTCCCTCCCTCTTCACTGTTCCATTGATTTTTCTTCACTAAATCCCTCAAGACTCCACCTTTACTTTGATTCTTCCTCTTTGAGTTGTAAACACTGGTTTAGTGAGCATTGTGAGGGAGTTGGTGAGGCATTTCTAAGGGTGTGCTTGCTGTTTGTTGGAGTTTAAGGGGCTGTACTTTCTGAGTTGGTTGTGTGGCCTTGTTCTTGGCTTCTTGAGCTTCAAGAAGCCACCTTTTGGCATAAAGGGTCAAGCTTGACGATCAAATTCGTATCTTGGTAAAGTCTGAACCATAGTGCTGTGTAGAGCACCCCTTGTGTGTCTCATTTTTGGAGTTTTGAGCATTTGAGGTGAGCCATGATCATCGCTTTGTCATTTTCATGTTTTAAGCTTGTTTAATCGGTTAAAAAGTAAAACTTGGATCATTATGTGTTTCTGAGTTCTTAAGATGTTGTTGAATATCTGTTTAGGGAGTCTTTCGACTTCCAATCGCATTTGGACCCTTAAAATTGGACTTATGCAGAGGAATGCTTGAGTTTCTGCATTCTGTCTGATAAGTATTCGAATACTTTTTGTGTAGTATTCGAATACTTATCCCTTGGTAGTCGAATACTCCTTGCAGCAGTATTGGAATACTTTTTTGGGAAGAAAAGTATTCGGATACCTTTGAAGAAGTATTCGAATACTGGAGAGTATTCGAATACAGTGAGTTTTAGTATTCGAATACTATGGTATTCGGATACTTGGGGTGTTGGTATTCGAATACCTTGTGGTATTCGAATACTTTAGTGAAAGTAATCGAATACTTTCTGGAGAGCTGGAGTATTCGAATACTACTCATGGAGTATTTGAATACCTCTTGCAGAAACAGCATGAAATGAGTTAAAATGAGTAAGAAAGCCTTAATCACTTAATGTAATCTTGAGCAATGATTATTGATGATCAATTATTGTATAAACAGATTGTGATTGTGCTATTTGTGGGCCTTAAGCTTGTGTGGACTCTTGGCTTGGATAGTTAGCTTGCAAGGTAAGCTTTCGTGTCCTCGGTTTAGCCATTGTGTGGTTCCACCATACCCCATGGGGGAATGGTTTATATGCATGATGTGTTACATGCTTTGATATTTAAAATGTTGTTGAGCTTTATGTGCAATTGCTTATAATATGTATGTGTTGTTCCATCTAAACGGTAAGCCTGAGTATGTGGCGTCATACAAGACGGTGATTCCGTGGGTGGGTGCAAGTGGCGTCTTGCACTGATGTGGGTAATAGACGTATATAAATCCTACATTTCTCTGGCCAGTAGAATAGTATTGACATACATGACATGATTATCTGCTGCATTACACTGATTTTGGAACTTATACTGTTATCTGTTTTTAGAACTTATATTGCACATGTAAGTGAGCTTGGGGTGGAAGATCCTTGAGGACCCCTTGTCTTACTGAGATTTCTGATTAGAGATCTCACCCCACGTTTGGGGCGCTTATTTCAGGTTCAGGTAACCCAGGGGTTGAGACCTTTGGCGGCAGGAAGCCGAAGCTTAGTTGGCTGTTGCTTTTGATTATGCTGATATGATTGGATGCTACTTATGTTTCTAGTTTCTATCATGTTTTATGAGTTGAGACTTTGTGGGCTTTGTTGCCTTATTTGGTAAGCATGGGGATTGTCCATGCCACTCTGTGTTTTCTTTGCTGCTTTAGAGTTGAGTTGTATTAATGTATCAAGATTGCAATCTGGACTACGTGTTGTAGATCCGT